ACTGGGGAAGATAATCGTTCGTGTATCAGTCTGCGTTCCATGATACGCGGGCAATCACATTGAATATACTCTAAAAGCCCCATTTTATTCAAATTCTTCCTTTCCTTATCCCCTTTGACTTCCGACAGTGCATTTGGGGTCTTGACTATTCGACATAATATTTATTTAGACCCATTTGTCCCTCTATAAAGACATCCTTGAACACATATGTGCCCATTGACGGAGTTTTCTGGAATCTTGGTTTAAGTACTCCTACGCCTGTACTTCCATCGTTCAACTGAAGATCCGTCGGTATACATACCCTACTTGGCTCCCTTTGTCAATCATAGATATTATCACTCCACAGCAGTCCCTTGCAAAAATTCGCTCCTTGTAGGGCTTTTCCAAGGATAATGTCGGTAGCATTATGTCTGTGAACTTGAAAGCGGTATCCTCCAGAAATAGCTTTAACTCCTCCAAGTGACCCCAAAAAACCCTAATTTTCATGCTGATTACATTGGCACTCCACATTCAAAAGATGTGAGTTCCAATTGAGTCTATTGTCCAGAATTACCCCGAGATACTTCGTCTCTTTTGAGAACTCAATTTCTGTCCCTGCTAAGCTGGGTCTAGTCAAGCTGGCTTTCCATTTTTTGGTGAATGGGACAATGGTTGACTTCAGTGAGTGTAATGATAATCCCTTTGCACCACACCCGTCTTCCTTTAATCTGAGCGTAGCTTGTAAACGTGATGCCCCAAAGCTCATGGCGTTCATTCGCATCGCAGCCAATGATCAAATCCAGTGCACGTGACCGGGCGTGTGGCTGCTTCTCCTCGTATGCGCAGTGTGCGAACGTAGGCATGAAGCTGCGCTCACGCCTGTGCTCACATCCCAACGATAAAAGATCCCCAGCGCTGTATGGGGCGAAAAGAAATATAATATTAAAGCTCTTTTTAACCAGTATACAGTATCTACATATCTTACCTTTCTCGTTGGAGTGAACAGACGGTAGGCACACATACCTAGCCCAGTGTGCCTAACTTGTACAAGTCAAGGTTTTTGGACTAGCGACGCATCAATTTCTTTGTCCAGGAAGAACTTCATCAATTTGAGAGGGGCCGAAGTGGAATTATGCAAGTTTTTTTGCACGCTAGCTTCCTCTCTAGTGGCTTGTGGCCCGACACCAGGTACACGAGCTTTAAGGGTTCCTAACCCGAACTTACCCTCCCTGAATTTAATATTGTAAAGTGACGTCTGTTCCACCGCGACCAGCATGTCACTCTCGGTCCTTGTCTTGTAAGGAATCAAAGGAACTGCGTATGCTTCGTTACGGACGTTAAATTACCTTTTCCATCTATGTCACCTTTCCCTGGCGGGCTGCCGCAGACGTGAAGAATCCCGGCGCTTCGCCGAGCAGCAGCATCTCCTCATTGGAGCCGATATTGTCGACATTGCATCGTCGTCATCGGAAGCGTTGCCGATGGTAAGACTCCGAAACTGGAGCCCTAAGCATCGGTCCTTGTCTGGCTTCTTTTTCTTACCACTGTCTACCTGCTCAAAGTAGGCTTGGAGGCAACCACTCTACCTTCCCGGTAGCATTTGTAGACTGCACAGCCGGAGAAGTCGCTGGATAGCAACGCCAGATGACCTTCACGCCCACCATCTCCCTACACCGTAATCTTTCCTTCCACGGACCGACTTTCTATACGGGCACCTCTTTCCTGGGGGCCTTCTGATAACACCTTTTCGATGCATACATAAACGTAGTTGGCTGTGGCCCGTTAGATAGAGAGTAGTATGATGTTATTTATGTTTAATTGAGACCGCATGTTAGGTCTCTTGAAAGGGTAACCACAGAGCGTGGCCCCCCTATGACCTCCATCGGCTCGCAGTACTTACTGCGTTCAGAGTGTACCCACTCAGTAATTATGGTTCTCGAAGACGACCAATTAAGACCACACAATGGTCCCGGTCCCATGAAGGCAGTTAAGGGTTCTTCTCGCCACAGCTCGTCAGCGACCTCGTGGCTTTCGATCCCAAAGTGGCCCGCCACCATTGAATGCAGAAAGGTTATCCACAGGCTGGCATCTGAATAATCCCTGGGACGTAAATATACTGGAATCACCGATTAAAGACTAAACTAAGANACGACCTCGTGGCTTTCGATCCCAAAGTGGCCCGCCACCATTGAATGCAGAAAGGTTATCCACAGGCTGGCATCTGAATGCTCCCTGGGACGTAAATATACTGGAATCACCGATTAAAGACTAAACTAAGAGAAGGTAAATACCAGATGGGCCCCGAAACCCAACTGCCAAGTCAAAAATTGATCTAAAGCGTTCCAAAACTCTCACTGCCTACGTGTGCTTCCTTGCTCTTACACCGTAGCAGCCACTCTAACCTAATAGCATGTAGTACATATGTATGTACATACATATATGTATGTAGCTGTATATGATATGGAATGAAGTGAAATGGAACATTTCAAAATTGTAACTTCTAAAAGTTTCCCCACCCCGATAACATAATAAATTATACGATCTGCTAAATCTAGTTGAAGAAAATGAAAGAAATGTATTCCATCGACACCACCACAGCAAATTGGATTTTCATGCCCACAGCTAAATCGCTATTCGAATAAATAGTATGTATGTAGGTATACCTACACAAGTATTTTTCAACGCCTAGGCGAAGGGTTGACGCTGCGAGAGCGGCATATTACTCGACCTCGAACGTCTCGAAGAGCGTTGCGGGAGCAGCGGCTGTCTAATGTGTTCCAGCGCATGCGCTTCCAAGTCTATTGGCGAAGAGACGCAAGAGAAATGCTATGCTACCCAAAGCGAGCGATTGTCATCTCCATCACTCATATTGATATTGGATTTGTCATCGTCAGCAATGTACAGTTGGGAACGAAAATGACAGCAACAGTATCAGCAACTATACCCTTGAACATACACATATACAATACTAAATAGTATGTACGTATGCATGCATAAATAAACATGCCTAATCTAAAGAGTGATAAAAGCGCATAAGCGCATTAGCTAATAGGCAAAGTGTAGCCCGATGGCGGTGGCGGGAGCGGCAGTTGTGACTCTATTACCGAAAAGCGCCAGCAGCCACTAGCCAACAGGGTGTGAAAGATTAAAATAAAAATGAAGAAATCTACGCCAGCGACGCAAAAACAATTACAGCAACTAAAACGACAACAACAACGACAACGCGCGCGTACATACAACAAACAATATGCAATTAAATGAAAAGTAAAAATAACATGGCGGCAATGACGGAAAGTCGACGACGTCGACGACGACGTTGAGGATCGCGGAACGCAATATGCGCACTCGCTCGGCCAACAACAAACATACACGCCGCCAGCAAGTCAATTCAAGTCCAACAAAGCGATGAGCAAAAAACAAAAGAAAAACTTACAACCTGAAATCCATTTAAAACGAAATGAAGTATGGATCTAATACAAAAACAACTACAATACCTAAGAGCCTATAGCTACGAATGCAACATTCAAAAATGGAATGGGGTTGCGCCGTCACTATCACCACTCGCGCTTTATACACTTTGTATTCGCTCGAAACATTTCAATGGGAACTCGAAATCTTTCATTTGCGAGCAAACCAAAAGTCGTCAAACATTTGTTTAAATAAAAACCAGTCGTTGTGCGGTCGCAAAGTATTAGCAACGTAGACAAAGACAACAGCAATAACAACAAGTTTGTTGATTTTCAATCAAAGATATGCTGATGGTATGCTTACGAACGTATGAAATTCGTAGGGAAGAAGACATGCACGCAACGGCAGCGCCAAAAGTGTAAAGGGGAGGAAGACAAATGACTGCTCGATAGTCATTATTTGTTGTTTTTTGCCGCATATTTCAAACCTATACACAATATGTATATTTTTTTCGTTTCGTTGCCCGAGCACATTGAATTGCTTTGCGCATGGATGGAATTATTTTGTGATTCGAACATTCGTTCGTTCCTGCTGTTGAAAAGCAGCAACAAAAACGACATAAAAATAAATTACTTTAGCAGGTAGGTAGCACACCATGAACCCCAACGAGCACACAGCTGCACACGCGTTCATATATGCACCAACAACAACAACACACGCATACTCAAACACTAACGAATACGAAAATTTTGAACGCGGTTGGCATGCACAGCACTGAAGCAGGGCGCAGCGGGCACGAACGAAGCAGGAAAAATGAAGAACGCGCGCGGGTCGTTGCTGTTGTCTCTTTGCTTGCTCGAACTGGCTTGCTGCTTGTCTGCCTGCCTGCCTGCCTGCTTTGGCCGTCATTGTGTTAATTGAAAGCAAGCATTCTTCGATAATAAAGAAGAGGGTAACAGCGATCGCACAATATATACATATAGCATAAAGTAACAGCAACAAAGCAGATGTCGGCGGGCCATTTGCCTTGGCTGTGTGTGTTTGAAAGGGGACAGGCACGGTGGCGGGCATAACAAATTCGCCAGATGTATTTTATGACATTTTTTCTTTCGCTTGCCTACTTCTGCCTTTTGCTTCTGCTGTGCGCGGTGGCGGCGGCGGCTTTTGCCTGTGTATAGCGGCAGATTGCAATCACCCCAAAAAATGTTTCACTCGCCTATGCGGGCTGTGTGCGCGCAAACGAGATGCTAATAGCGCGCGCGTATGCTTATAGCTAAGCTACTCGCACGCATACACGTTGGCCCAGCAACGCTGGTAAGCCAATTTTTCTTAACACAAGCGCACTTTTGTTCTTGTTGTTTTTTGTACTTCATTTTTTTTTCTAACCGTACATTGTGCTGTTGTTGCTCCATTGTCTGGCTGCCATCGCCTTTGCCCGCTGGCTGCTCAGTTGTTGTAGGTTGAATTACATTTGTTTTTGTTTTTCGTAATGGCGATGTTGTTATTGTTGGAAAAATGTATGTATATGCGGCTGCTGTTGCTCTTTGGACGTAGTGCTGCAGGCAGCAGGCCAGCAGAGTTGCCGTGTCAGTTGGTTTAGTTGAAGTCTGTACGTCGTCGAGTTTAGTCGCATTTTCGTTCCGTTTGCAATATTTTATTGCCGCTCGTGTGTGTGTGTGCTCTCTCAAAGTGAAAAAAGCTAGCAAGCAAAAAAACCGCCTCAGTTTTATGCACTTTTTACTTATTTAACGAGAGAGCGAGAGCCAGCCAGCCAGCCTACTCGAGCAACAACTACACAAACAAAAAGCAGCCAGTCTAGCCGCCGCTCTCAGTCGTTGGTGTGCGCCGCCAATATGAAAATCTCAATATTAGCAAGCCGCCCCATGCAGTGCTGTAGTGTATGGCCGGGGGAGTGTCGCCGTCTGCATAAAAATTAAAGTGAATTATTTATTCGAGTAGTTAAAGAAAAACAAAAAACGAAGCTACGGAATGCATTAGCATATTAACACAATCTAAATGTATATTCGTATAAGCGCCACCAGCGCAAAGTATTTATTGTGTAGCGTGTAGTGAATACAAAAGAATTTTTTTAAGTGTTTGAACTCTGACGAAGTGGAAGCCACTTTTTTTGGAGACTACCTTGCATTGGCGTTTCTTTCCGTACGCATACATACATAACTGTGGCCTGTTTGTATAGCAGCAACAAGGGTCCCTAAGCTCCCGCATACAGGTGCTTGACCTATTTGTTTATTAACACACAAAAATATAGACGCACTCAAATTATAACAAAAAAAAACTCACAAACAAGAAAATACGCACGAAAAAATTTAGCTGCGTTAATACACAGTGCTAATTTCAGCATTTTTGTTCGTACATTTGAGTTACACACTTTTGTTGTTTCTCTCTGTCCACCTTGGTATCTCTTGCTCTGTTCAATTTGTTGCTCACTGTTTGTGTGCGTGTGCGTGTAAAGTGAAGTATTTATAAGTTGAAAAGGAAAGGAAAAGCCGAACAGAACTGACTGACTATGCTGCATGCAAACTTTTAAGTTATTTCAATTCAATTTTGCGTTGAACGATGGATCGTCGTGGATTGAAGTTTATTTCGAAAAGGTATTTCTTGTTTTTTTTTTCCATACTTTTATTTAACGACATAAGAACGTAGTAGTTGTGAGTTTTTCTAAAATTTTACTTTTGCTTTACATTATCCATACTTTATTCTCGTCTGGCGCTTTGTTTCGTACGAATTGGTGACTGTGTTCCCAAGAGACGAAAAAAGCGGGAGAGTGGTTGAAAACGCAGCAAAGTATTTGTTAGCCGAATAGTGCTGCCAGACTTTTACGATGCAGCAAAATGAAAACAATACAGAACGAAGTGCCAAGTGGCAACATAATCAAATAAAAATTACCTACGATTTATTAAAAAAAAAGATATGTATGTATAAGTTATAGGGAAAACCCAAACTCATTAAAAAGGAGGCATACTAAAGTAGATGTGTTGACATAAATTCAAATAAAAGAACTTTGTTAACAGATGTCTTTAATCTTTTTTTTTTGTAAATTGTGTCATTGTTAACTTGAGAATTTCGGATATAATATCATTTCTGCAAATTGGATTCGAACTAACAGCTCCTATGTCGGTACTCAGCAGTCTCTAGTCTCTAATGGCGACTTTTCGTGGTGAACAACGATTTTGAGACTACATATTTGGTAAGCTGTATCACATCTATAGTCTAAAAACTAGTCAGCTGATTAATCAACTGGTTTTGAGCTGTCACAACAAAAAAGCGAAAATGAAGTCAGGAAATATTTATTTAACAACAATTTTATTAGGAAAATCAGCAAAATTTAATTGAATAAAAAAATTACTTCAAACAAAAACTAAAAATCAAAAGAAAATTATATAAAAAATAATGGCGTTTTCGTTTCTACAAAAAAATTGTGCCTTTTCATTGCACGGTTATTAGTGTTTGTGCTTAGAGGGCAATGAGAAGGAACATTTATCGGTAGAAACGAAAACCTCATTAGATAGGACAATTAAATTATAATAACAACAATTAAAAAGCCCTAATTAAATAAGCAAAAAGGAAAAAGTGCACGCTAGTGCATTGCTCACCTGGCCATTGCGACTGTTGGAGCAGCGAGAGCAATATGACATTCATACATATCTATTCATTTCCATTTGGAATACACTATCAGCTGGCCATCTCTTTTTTTCGGTGAACTTTTTGTGATTCTCTTCCGATCGTCTCAAATGTAGTGACTGCACATGTGACTAACATTTATTAACCAACATTAAAATTGAGCGAATGTTTCATCGGTGAATAAGCATCAATGTATGTATGTATACCAATCGTTAGAAGAGCTTAGAAGCGATTCATAGCCACACATAAACAAATTCCAAATGTTTACAAGATATGGGAATGGTACCAATGCAAAAGAAAAAGCCATGAGTGCTAATGAAAACTGTCCTTCAAAGTGAAGATTTCCGTTTACATAACTCGAGAGAAATAACTTCCATTTTGGAGGATAAATTTGTTCTGCGTTGATATCAAGAGAAAATACCTTTGTGAAATATCCACATGTAAAAGTCGAAAATCCACAATTCGATTGTCCTGATTTGCATTTCCTGCGAATACGATCCTAAAACCAGATTAAACCATTACTAGATACCTGTGATGCTTTTGAGCAGAAAGATCAAGAGAAAAGATCGCTTATTTTGTTGTGTGAGAAAATCTCAAATGTAAGACTTTGGGAGATTTGCAGAGGTTGATCGTAAAATGCAATAATTTTTTTCAGAAAGGAGGCCAATTACTGCAAGTTTTCCGGAGTGACGGAAGCCGCGGTACATATTTTGAGTACTTATAGTAAAGTATTCTATAAGCGATTCAAATCAGACCAACTTGCATTCTACTAGGTAAAAACCATATGAGCATACACAAGTGAAAAGAGTTGCACTTCTCACACTGCGCAACAATGAGCTTATTTTTTTGAGCTCATTGAGTAAATCACTCCAAACAACAGCGTTCTCTTTGGCGAAAATGCTATCACTTATAAGCCTCTGAAGCTCGAAATTACTTTGAAATACATATGCCTATTTGGTAACGGATGGTTATTTTTACAGACTGCCAGCGCATCATGATAAACCGTTTGCAATCATTTTACGTATTTTTATTTCCTAAAGCGCAAATCCTTTGGAGCTCTGCATGATGGCTATTATTTCACACTACCTAAATATATATATTTTACTAAATAAATCTCTAGCCCCCTTTTCAGTGTATATGTACATGTGCTTCTTCTTGCAATATTTCAAGCCTAATGTGATACCATTTAAAAATTGGTGATGACACTCAACTGAAAACATTTTTATTTATTTACCCTCTTCAACTGCTAATCTGGCAACCTTACTCACCCTCCATGTGGCATTCTTTGTTGCTCTCTCAGCATTTTACACTCCTAAACAAAAATTGAATTGAGCAATGCTGCCACTCTGCAGTTCTTTTTCGTTTTCGTGCTCATGAAAACAAATGAATTGAAAGTGAATTGTTGGTTTGTACTATTTCTGAATATGTAAAAAAAAATAATCCCAATATCGTACAGAGCATATCTGTAGGTAACACAACACTTTTTCTACTACATACATATTTACCGTATAAAATTTATTGTAAATGAAACTTTCAATTCAATTGTTTACCTTTTTTTATTTGAAACTAAAATTAAACTTGAAAACAGTAAAAATTAAATTATCCCTAAATACTGCCCCTGCTTCCTATGCCACTCCATACAATATTTTAACTTGAAATATTCTTACAGGAATTTATGCGCCCTTTTTCATCTGCCGCAACGCATTTCATCTGTTTCCTTTGTTAATCTTGTTGTACATTTTTATTTTCTTTGCACGTCTTAAGTATGCAGCCAGGTAGATCTCGCTCTTCGACAACAACGTCTGCAACAGCAAAATAAAAAGAAGCAGCAGCCGGCAGACTTTTTACCCACCACTCTACTACTCTTACAATAAGATTGAAAACTAGCCATTAGATGTTTGCAATAGCTGTGTGTTGTTTGTTGCTACATACCTCTTCAGTAGTGTAGTATACATACAAATATATGTAGTATGTTCCAATATATACATATATATTATTAATATTGGGGAAATTACTATAGCTACTTCAATGTACATGGCTTGGACGCGAAGAAGATTAAAAGAACGGGAGGTAAGGACACAGTACATTTGAAAATGAATTGTAAAGCATTTGGATGGGATTCATCGAATAACTAGACGTGCTCTGAAGATAGTTATAGGCTCTTATTAGACTCACTACTTTTTAAGTTTTATTGTGACTTGCCGGCTATATATTTCTAAATCCGTTATTGTAAAAACAATACTGAAATGGATGCAGCATAAAGTATAAAGTCGCAGTGCGATCCTCATTTTGTTTATTTTTACACTTATATCCGTATTTTTATGTTTTTCTTAGCCCTAAATTGATAAGTTCTTATCCCAAGTTGATATTTATGTTTATTTTATGTTTTTCTTAGTCCTGAGGGCCCTTAGTTGATTTGTCATTAGTTTAAGTTAATATTTATATTTATTATATAATTCTAAATTTAAGATAATCCTCTTACGAAATATAGATTTAAACTACATATTCAAAGATTGCAGTTAAAATTGCATTTTTTTTATCTAAAAGATTAAAATTGATGTTTCGAAGTAAGCTAAAACCCTTTAATTTATCTTTTACTCTAAATCGGTGGACACGAGCTACTTTACTATACAATACGGTACAATAAATATGGGCGCGTCTGAGTTAATATGGTTTGTCTGACGGCGCTTGAGCCAGGATAGTTTCAAGATACATAGTTATTCAAGTTGAGATAGTCTTTCACATGGCATTCAAGATTGGATGGATGGCTATCGACCAATTGAGATAAAGTAGCTCAGTGCTATCGAAATATTCTAGTTTCCCCAATCGAAATTCCTTATACAAATATCTATCTTTTTTCTATCGACTTCAAAAAAGGGAAGAAGCTTATGAATTAACCGGAATATATTTTTTTCTTTTTGCTTTTATCGGAAAGATGGTAGCTCAAGGGTGGTCCCAACTAATTGGATTTAGTGCTGATGCTTGGATCTTGAGGAAATTAACGGTACTGCAAATTGTTTACATGAGCATTGAATTTGATCGAATTTTTCCTTAAAAATTACTGTTTTATAAAATTTAAATACATGGAATTCTAGATTTTCTTTCTTTTGTAATGCCTTGTATCCATGCCCGTTTCGCAGCCACTCAACTTGCCCTTGCTTCTGTTGTTTGCTTTATTTTTTCCACCTCAGTTGTCTACCCGCAATGCACATTTATCAAAGAAAAAACCAGTTTCTTGGTTGCGTAGCTCTTGCTGTTTGTAGTTGCTGCTGCTGTCGGCTACTAAACACTATCGATGTATGTATACCGTGTGCCCTGTGTGCTGTGAGGGAGCACACAATTTTGCAATGCACCAGGCCACCACTCGAGTTGCTTGGTTTGTTTCATATTGGAGACGGCTGCTTAGTTCTGTGATGTGTACCAGTTGTGGGCGACTTCATTGCTGTCTGGCAATGGCGGTGCTGTTGTGCTCAAATATGCGTGGCTGCCTTTCGAAGGAAGTAAGGATACAAGGAAATTAAAGAAAGAAAAAAAGTAGATTAAAAGCAGACACAAGCTGATATTGGGAAAAGTATCAGATTACGAGCATGAGTTGAGAAAGCGGGAAACAAAATGAGTTTCGAATTGTGGTGGTGGTAGAGCAGTAGCAGCAGCAGTGGTAGGAATACACTACAAGTCCCCTGTGGGTTAGCGTACACCATTAAAGTCGTGGTTGTTGCGCGACGAGCGAGCATTGAATGTTGAAAATCGAAAAATTTACTACCACACTTCCTCGCCTCTGCCATGCTGGAAACGTGTAAATTATGGCAATAATAAGTAGGTAATTTTCGCTGTGTGATACATTGGTGGCTTTTAAATGTGTTTTTAATACATATTCATTTAAGGGTTTGTCGGCTCAATCAACCACCCAACCACTTTACGCACTTCACGCTATTCAATGCCATTTAATGCACAAATTTTCTTGTTTCAC